CTCGACATGTCTACAGAGGGATGCGATGAGGGTCGGGGGCCATTGATTCCAACGAAGCCGGTGGTTGCTGGTCCTCTGAGGGTGCCCTTCTCAGTGGTTCGTCAGGTCTTTCGTGAATGGCAATCTGGGGTTCTCACTGATGTCATGGTGATAGGTCGCTATGGAGAGGACTGGTTAGAAGTGCTGATCAACTTGAGGAACGTAGGGCTCACTACCGAGCTGAGGGACTCCTTGAGTGGCATGGTGGAGTGGGATGTGAACACTGTGGGAGACATGCAGGAGGAGGAAGTGGTTCCCACTCTTCTAGAACATGGTCAAGGGTCGCCAGGGTCGTCGTCTGATGTGGAGATTCGCCGAGATGGATAGCTAGGTACTTGAAGGTCGTAAAGGCCCATTTGCCTTCTGCTATGGCAGATTCTGGACGTTAGCAAGCTGGCAGACGGAAAAAGGCGTTCAAAAAAAAAAAAAACCCTAAGTGAGGCTGGCAGTTGGCAGGCACGGCCGTAGCCATGTTGCTTTGTGAGCCGCTTGCCCGCTTGCTGCATTCAACCCCGGCCCCGCCGCCTTAAGCGAAGATATGAGACTTCGACAGATTTAGTTCAAGAATCCTCTTAGAAGGTGCTCACAACTGGGCAGCTAAGCCGAGGATGGTGGGAAGCATTACTGGCAGTCTGGGTTCAATGCCGGAAGCCAGCGTTTTTCTTGCAACATCTGGCGTGATCGTGTTAGAACCCCTAGACAGCCGCCAGCACCTCCCTGCCCCGAGCCGTCTGCAAGTCTCCCCGTCGTGGAATATCCTTGAGAAACTTGAAACCCTCCTATCAAGCCCTGAAGCCTTAAACGCCTTAAGCCCGAAACCCTAAAGCCCTGAAGCCCCAAACCCCAAAACCCTAAACCTTAAGCCCTAAGCCCTACGCCCTGAAACCCTATCGCTTCAAGCCCTAGTAGCACATGAGGTCACCCCAGAGGTGAAGTTTGCCGACTTGTCAGAGCTCCACCACGCGCCAGGGACCCCAAGTTTTAGGTTTGAAGGTTTAGGGTTTAGAGGGGTTTGGGTAGATGGTTTGCTTTGCAACGCAGGGTCACATGTGAACTATGCATGGAGGTCCCATACGGGGGAAAAGCTCTTCATAAACTAGAGGGTACTATGCCCTTCAAGACCACACAACTCTATTCTTGCAATTACGGCTCTTCTTTAACCAGCTGTATTCCAGTCATTGAGTCATGTTGAATCCTTTTTTATAGTACTCTATGCAGAGGGTAGCCGGCAAGGTTCTTGAAGCCCAAATGCTCACAACTGCCGTATTCAAGCCGACAGGATTTCATGAAGCTATCATAAACAAGTGGTTTGCCGTATAACCGCCCTCGAATTGAAGCTTCCAAGCTCTGGTCACTGGTAACAACTGACCTAACCCTCTGAGCCAAGGTCAATCCGCTCCTATGCGCTTCGGATGCAGTCTCGAGTCTAGGGTGTAGGGCTTTGGGTTTGCAGGTTTACGGGCTAGGGGTATTGGCGAAAGGCTCCAAAGCGCGCTAGATCCATACTGTCTGCAGTTTGAGCTTGGCAACAGTATACAGCAAGTGAACATCTTCAACACCTTCACATTGACAATCCTTTCATCCAAGCCACACCCCACAGTGTCAGAAGTGACCAGGCTCGCAAAGTCCAGAGCAAGGCCCAGGCCTTGCGGTTGCACCGTATGACCGCCAAACTAACCAGAGGCCCACGCACCATCCGAAACAAGGACATACCTAGAACAACTTAACACAAGAAAAAGAAAGCTACTGCAACCGGAAATGACCAGAGCGCCCATAGAACCCTTCTAGAAAAACTTATAGAGCCCTCATAGACCCATCATCGAACCCCTGTAGAACCCCTATACTTCTCGTCGCTGCTGAGTCCTTGGAGCTGCTGAACTGTGTGGCCGAGCAGGGCGACGATGACTTCGCCAAGGCTTTCACCGGCTGAAGTCGCAGAACTTTTGTGGGTTTTTCTTATGAATCTGAGGAGAGGCGGTTCTGGTCTCTGCAGAGGGTTTATCGAAATCATGTATGATTCCCTATAATGGTACAATGAAAGTTTCGGGAAAAGTTTCATGTGTTTGACGAGTTGAAGGGTTTGGAGAGTCGAATTAGGGGTCCTTGCAGTCAGCGATCCGGTCTTTGGCACGGTTAGGTCCAGAGGAAGGAGTTCATTGGACAGTCACTTACACCCTGCTGAACCTGCAATCCTAAACCCCAAACTCTAAGCGGCACTCCGTCAGGACGGCTTAGACTACTAGTATAATACTACTATTATAATACTACTAATATCTTACTACTATTATAATACTACTCTTATCTTACTACTATTATAGTACTACTATGATAATACTAACTATTATGGCTATCGTATGATTATTGTCGTTATTCCTATTTCTCAGCGTCTTCGCCAGATTTCGTCCTCCCAAAAACCCTCCCGGAGCTCCCAGGAGTTCTGCAAGCCGGGCAGGAGGCCCCAGGAGATTCGAAACTCTGGGAATTATCCTTAAGAGCCCTAAACTATGGGAATTATCCTTAAGAGCCCTAAACTCTGGGAATTATCCTTAAGAGCCCTAAACTATGGGAATTATCCTTAAGGGCCCTAAACTATGGGAATTATCCTTAAGAGCCCTAAACTCTGGGAATTATCCTTAAGAGCCCTAAACTATGGGAATTATCCTTAAGAGCCCTAAACTATGGGAATTATCCTTAAGAGCCCTAAACTATGGGAATTATCCTTAAGAGCCCTAAACTATGGGAATTATCCTTAAGAGCCCTGAACTATGGGAATTATCCTTAAGAGCCCTAAACTATGGGAATTATCCTTAAGAGCCCTAAACTATGGGAATTATCCTTAAGAGCCCTAAACTATGGGAATTATCCTTAAGAGCCCTAAACTATGGGAATTATCCTTAAGAGCCCTAAACTATGGGAATTATCTTTAAGAGCCCTAAACTAAACTATAAACTATGGGAATTATCCTTAAGAGCCCTAAACTATGGGGAATTATCCTTAAGAGCCCTAAACTATGGGAATTATCCTTAAGAGCCCTAAACTATGGGAATTATCCTTAAGAGCCCTAAACTATGGGAATTATCCTTAAGAGCCCTAAACTATGGGAATTATCCTTAAGAGCCCTAAACTATGGGAATTATCCTTAAGAGCCCTAAACGATGGGAATTATCCTTAAGAGCCCTAAACGATGGGAATTATCCTTAAGAGCCCTAAACTATAGAAATTATCCTCAAGAGCCCTAAACTATGGGAATTATCCTTAAGAACCCTAAACTATGGGAATTATGGTATATTCCGTTGCGCCAGTTTTTTCCGTTCATTCTTGGCAGAATCGTCATATCAGGCCTTTACCGAGGGGTCAGGGTCTAGGGGCTTTAAGGCTTGAGGGGTGTTCGTGGCCACGATACAGAGAGTCATCCTGTTTTTTGTGATAGGTTGATGGTTTGACCCTAGAATTCAGGGTTTGAGCTTTCGAGCCAGGGCTTTGGGTTTGAGTGCTATGGCAAGTCCTTATTCCTGGGTCCCGCTTGTAGTTGTGGGCTCACCTTGCTTCTCTAGGTTCGCGTCTGGGGTTTGTGGTTGCTCCTTCCTCTGGGTCTGGTTGTGGAGGCTCTGTGCCTCCCTGTTCGCACTACACGGCCTGTAGTCTCTGGCCCCGGATCCTGAACCCTCCGCTGTGCCAAGATGCGGATGCCGACAGTCTCTTCCCTCAGTTCGATCTCTCCGAGATGCTTTTCGGAAACGCCTACGCCTTCCCAGGCGCTTTCGAGTGAGTAGTTGCTAGCACTATCCATCATCATGATCATGATCATCTTCAGCTTCTTATTCATCTTCATCTTCGTCTTCACCTTCATCACCTTGATCATCTTCATCTTCACCATCATCTTCATCATTATCATCATCGTCACCAAAGTTCATCATCAGCATCAGCACCAGCTCATCATCCTCATCCTCATCCTCATCATCATCACCATCGCAACCATCTCCTCATCCTCACCACAATCATTGACATGGTCGTTCTTCTCTGCCATGACGTGCAACTATAGTCATGTTGAACTATGCCCATGTTGCGAATGTCATCTTCAGTGTGTAAGTCTTGCCCCGACCTACAGGAGCTTAAACCTACATGGGGGCTCGTTTCGGATCGAAAGTTCTTGTTCTTGGGATTTGGGCTCCGGTAGTTCGTGACGTCAGAGTTGAGGCCCCCCCCAGCCCTCAACTCCCAACTGCTAAGCGAAAATCGAAGCAGAAGGTCCCTCAGCCGAACGGCCCTGAACGATCCTGAACCCTTTTGAGGTTTGGAGTTTAGGGGTTTAGGGTTTAGGCTTTGGGGTTTGTAAAGGGTATAGGATCCTAAACCCTAAACCCTACCAAACCACACCAGGAAAAACCCTTCCGTCCTTATACTGCATGGAGCGCAGGCTTGACCTTGGTGGCTGACGATCATCCTCTCGTCCGCGCCGGCATGTGTTTTCTGAGACACTGCTTCTGTGTGTTGGGGGCTTTTTGGCAAGTTTCTTCACTGGCCTGTTTTCGGCCATATCTTTCTTGCGGATTGTGACCACGCAGAGCGCGAAGGTTTGAACGGTGCTAGGTTTTGAGTGTCAGTGGTTTGAGGCTTTTGTTTTAGGCTTTGGAGTTTGGGGTTCGAACCTGTGGCAGTGACTGTGTGGGCCTGCAGTCTGAAGATGTTTCCGTGCCTCCACGTTTTTCCTTGTTAGGTTTGATGAGGTCATCCTGGCGAACAAAGCCCTAATATAGAAGCCTCGAGAAGGGAGCCCCAAACCCTACTCTAATTGTTATACGGCCCCTACATTTCACCCTGAACAGCTGTCAGGTTTGGGCTGAGCCCCGAAGGCCCTACAAGACTAAGCCTCAAGGGCCCAAAGCAGCCCCCAAAAAGGCAGGAACTCCGATGTTCAGCACGAGCCTTCTATGAGATCCCCCATGTGTGGCCAGGAGCAGATGCTGAAGATGTCAGAGAAACTGCAGGCCAGGGTAGGGGGGCTCTGTCTTTTGCAGGGGATCCAGGATAGATGGCAATGTTTGAGGGTTCGACCCCTCGCATATCCTGAATCTCTTAATGCAGGAGGTCCTGTAGGCCCACCTACGCCGTAGGTATTCTCGGTTCCTTGAGTCCTTGAGGAGCAGTTCCCGCGAGCTTCGGATATCGAAGCGGACATCAAGAAGCAGGAGGAGTCAGCAGTCAAGGAGCGGCTCCAGAGGGTGAATTTAGGGTTTTTCAGCTGTGTTGAGAGTTTCGGAGTCTGGGCTGATGAGAAATTTTGGTTTCTGTGTCTTGGCCCGATGGGGAGCATTTGGGTTGGGAGGATCCTGCGGCCTGAGGCCCAGAGAACTCAACACTCGTGCCTCTTTGCAGCCGGCACAAGGCTCATGTGGTGGTTTCCAAGAATTAGGGGTCCCTTTTTGGGCTGCCCTATAAAATTTTCGGTGCCGTATTATAGTAAGGACCCAAAAAGGGGCCATAATTTTGACAGGCACCCAATGTGGGGAGACCCCCAAAATATTCTTTTCCTTCGAGCCACGAGGCCGGCACAAACTTGGGGATCCCAACTCCCTACACTCATCCTCAGCGGGGGAAAGAAGGTCCCTAATATAGTAATTACCCTGGATAGTAGGATCCTTATTATAAGGACCCAAAGTAAGGTCCCTAATATAGTAATTACCTTGGATAGTAGGATCCTTATTATAAGGACCCAAAGTAAGGTCCCTAATATAGTAATTACCCTGGATAGTAGGATCCTTATTATAAGGACCCAAAGTAAGGTCCCTAATATAGTAATTACCCTGGATAGTAGGATCCTTATTATAAGGACCCAAAGTAAGGTCCCTAATATAGTAATTACCCTGGATAGTAGGATCCTTATTATAAGGACCCAAAATAAGGTCCCCAATGTAGTGATTGGGACTGCGTTTTTTTCCTTGAAACTGCGGGCTCTGCACGGGCAAAGCCTCTTGAAAGCAGGAGAAGAAGTTCAAGGAGGACGACGAGCAACAAGACGAGGCTCGTGCTGCGCTCTTGCCGGCCTCCGACACTGCATACTATGGCTGCCTTCATAGTTGGAGCAGGGTGTTGGGGCATACTACTACGACAGCTATGATAAGGAACTCCAAACCCCTAAAATGAGTGGAGTAGGATCGTCATCTCAGGAGCCCATGAACAAGAGGATTTCAGAGCCAGTTTGGGGTGGAGTTGTTCTCCTCTGGAGAGGGGTTTTACATCTCCCCTGCTGCCCCGAAGCTCCAAGAATTATGGTCTGTGCCCCCGGTGCAGGCGCCACAGATGAAACTGAAGTTCTCGCCCGATCTCGTGATCCAGGCCCGACTGGACATGGGTTGATGGGGGCACATCGACTTAGACACTGAGGCAAGTTCATGAGTGTCTGTAGAAGGGATCTCTGGTTGGAAGCTAGACCAAAGTGTGGTATTGAGTCAGAGATTCCTTCATGAGATTTGCAGGGTTGTTTACAGAGGGCTTCAGGGAAGGGTGGAAGGCTGGAAAGCGCTTCCACGGGCTCAGGAGCTCTGCGCTTGGGGTTTCAACCATTGGGGCATAGGGTCCCAAAAGGTCAGATGCAGGAGGCTCTCACAGGGCTGCGGGGCTTTCATCGAGCATGGTGCTTTCGACGCGGTTTCGCAGATGTTTAATGAGCTACCCTGCAACTTCGTCAGCCGCTTGCCGGCAGTCGCCGAATTGATGAATCGCAGCGAGGCAGCGCTGAATCCTCTCACCTAAGCACCTCTTCCAGTCGCCGCCTTGACACCCGGGGGCCGACCCTGAACCAGGAACCGCCTGCAGCGAAATCCGAATGCTCAGAGAGTTTCCGGTTTAAAAAACTGTAAGCGGCGCTCAACTCCCCCTACTCTTATCAGCACTGTCCTACAACACCCCCGTCCCGGAGCTCCGCGCTCTTTCTGCTTCCCCCTTGTGCAGTCCGAGCAATTCTTGAAGCGCTGGTGTCCCAAGCGGCCAGAGAACCTCGGACTGCAGCGTTGGAGGGATCGCGATTCAGGTTTCGGGGATGTTGAAATGGGATCTGATTTACTGTAGCTGTTGGGATGTTCAAGGCTTAGGATTTAGAGGTTTAGGGTTTAGGGTTTGGATTTAGGGTTTAGTTGATCCCACCAATCAGACATGTTTTCGGAATCGGGAGCTCCTCAGCTACTCCTTCAAGTCTACTCACGCGCAGAACGATGAACTCGTAAAGCGCCAAGCCCTAAATCCCTGCATCCCAAATCCCTGAACTCTGTATCCCGTCACCCCAAAAGCCATCGTAAAACACGAAGAAGCCATCTAAAGCGCGCCCCCCAGGAAATCCCACACCATCCCACGCGTGCTGCCGACAGTGTCGGGGGGCTCAACTCCGGGCTTTCTTGGGGATCTTTAGGGTTTAGGGGTTTAGGGTTTAGGGTTTAGGGTTTAGGGTTTAGGGTTCAGGTTAGGGGTTCGCAAGGGTTTTTCAAGGGCCTCTGAGGTTTTTTAAGGGTTTCGATTCTCGAGAGCATGAGCTCTAATCTTTGAGAGCCGTTCTTGGCGGTGTCAGACGCTGTGTGCATGGTTGCTCGATTGAGTCTTTGGCGTGAGGTTGTTGCCTCTCTCGCCTTGCGACAGGAACGACTAACAACCCTAAGCCACAAATTCAAGCTGCACTGCCCAAGCATGCAATCACAATGCCTTGGAGTTATACCTTATGTAGACCCCTAAACCACAAGCCCGTAAATCCTATGCCCTCAAAGCCCCTAAACCCGAAGCGCCTAAAGCCTCCAACCCCCAAGCCCAAATCCCGCACTGAGGAATGAGTTCTTGAGCATCAAGAAGCTCCCTGTCGATGAGCGGTGGCAGATGCCGCTTGATTGCCCGCTAGGGGAGTAAGTTACGTTGTAGGGTTGAAGTCTCGAGTTTGGCAGCTGCGAAGTTGAGGGGAAAGCCCAATGATGCCGCCCGTTGGTAGGTAACGCTGCCTTCCGATCTTTCATGCAACCCAAAGCCAAAAACACCATCAGCTTCCAAATCCCCAATCCATCATCCTAGCCTCCCGGCGGCAGAAAACCTAAACTTTAAACCCCCTAGAAGACCAAAAACAAGATCTTCAAAAATCGCCGACTGTAACCCTAACCCCCGAAAGGCTGGCCCTTGCTGGTGCCGGCTCCTTCGACCCCAAGCTCGACTCGGACATCGGCCTTTTCGAAGGGTTTCAGCACGTGACAAGTGATTCGTACTGTTCCTTAGGGGCCTAAGGGCCTAAGGGCCTTAGGGTTTAGGCTTCTCTTGTGATTCTGTCAGTGTGGAGCCGGGGCGTCTATAGGTACCAAGCACTCGATCTCAGACTCGAGAATTAGGGCTATGAACAGATGCAAAAGTAGTTGTTGCCTCGCTCTTTCCGCTCTTATTACATCCAATAAATCCCATGATCCTCCAAAAAAGCCCTTTCAGTCGTACAAGTTTATAAGCGAAAGAAGAGGAGAACCATGAGGCCACCATTCCAAGCGAGCACAAGCAGCTCCTACTGGTGGTCACTGTGGAGTCTGCTCCCGACAGCCCAAAATCCCATAAGCCTGACATCCCATAGCTTCTCGAACTTACGCGTCTTGGTTAGGGCGGCCCTGCCCACAAATTTGACGTCTCAGGCTCAGCCTCAAGAACTTCTGAAAGACATGCCAGAAGCCATCCTTGTTCTTGTGAGCTGTTGTGACCATGGTTGCTATCGTACTGGAGATCTTCGGCAGGACCCTTCGAATCCTGTGTACACGCAGTGGGTCCATGAGAGCATGACTCAGCCTCTCGGCGACAAACTGAGACTTTCGGAGTGTGTGATGTGAAGGAATGGCTTTAGGTCTACAGGCGACCAGTTTCGGACGGAACTCAGGCGTCGAGGGAACCTTGTTTCGTCAAGGGTCTTGAGCAAGAAGGTGAGAAAGAAAACTTGTGGCGACGGCTCCGGATGCACCTGATTTTGGGGAGCTTACATGCCGACTACAATTTGTGCGTAAAGATTTATCGGAGTCTTCCGGGTGCGCAGGATGGCAACGTTGGGTCGTCAAGGCTTCACTGTGTTCTTCTCCGTTTTTCCTTGCAGTGAAGCCGAATGCATGAAAGCAGCCTTTCCACCCACAGTTGCCGCTTTGGCTTTAGCTAAAGCTTTAACCTCGATGCCGAGACCAGTCGACATTCAAGCACCGCCCCAAACCAAGACCGTAACCTTAAAAAACCCCACAACCAAACCTGCACCCTGCTCTCAGTCTCGAGGAACAAGCTGGCGTGCGTGACGGCCGGCAAGGCCAGACTCTGCCGGAATCGAAGCGCTTTTGATTTAGGGCTCCCTGAAAGCACAACGAGAAGTTGCGTAAGCCGGAGGAGAGACAAGTTGAACCTTCCGCTGCAGGTTTCGCACACTAGAACTTTATGCTCAATTAAGGGATTTACGTTTGGAGCTTATGCACCTGGACTTATATAAACCCCCGCATCTCTACATTAGCTTGCTCCGTTTGTATGTCACAGGAGTTTACGTGGGGTGCCAACGTTCCGGCGTCCACGGTGGTCGCAACCCGGCGCTTGCTTGGTAGACTGACTTGGCGGCTTAGGTTGTGGAACTGGATGCCAAAATCCTGGGCCCTCGCCTAAGCTAAACCCACAGACCTGAACCCTAGATCCTGACGTTACTGAAGCCCTCAAATGCCAAATTCAACACGAAACCCAAAGACCCGAAACCCTGATCCCCATATCCCGCACCCAAAACCAGAAACCCAAATGTTCAAACCCTACACCTCTAAACCCTGAGCCCCAGAAGACTCAAGAGAGTTGCTACTAGCCATACGGATTCTGGCAGCTCAGGTGATTCCTAAACCCTAGAGCCTAAACCCTAAACCACCGGAAAAGCTCAGGTGACCAAGTCCTTCGCTGAGACGACGTCCGTCGCAGGCGCTCTTCAGGGCTTTGGAGTCCGGTTGGAGGGCTTTGAGGTTGGGGTTTCAGGGTTCAGGGTTTAGGGGTTTAGGGGTTTAGGGTTTAGGGTGGATTCAGGGGGTTGGGATTTTTCGGGGTTTGGGTTCAGGTAGGGTTGGGTTCAGGATTGGGAGCCCTTGGGGCTTAAGGTTTCGATTTTGAGGGCTTGGGGTGTTTCGGCAGTCATCTTTGCAGCCCAAGCGGTGAGCAAGCGGGCAACCATGTAGAATGCAGTTGTAGGTGTTGCTAAACCCTTTCCTTCAAACCTGGATTATCCATTTTTGGCTGAATGCTGTTGGTAGGTCATGACGGAAGAGGCGTACCGCTTCACACATGAAGCGTCTGCTAGAAAGATTCGGCTTGGGCTTCAGTTCCCAAAGCTACAGCAGCACGCTTCGGCACCAAATCGCAATCGTGACTTCCCGAGGCCACAGTATATACCAAATGAGCACATGGACCCTTACTTCCCATCCCGTCCCCGACAGGAATGCTGCAGTACGTGGGGCGCGCCGCACGGCGTGGGCTGACGACGCATGGGCAGGCTGCTCTGGGTTGACCCTCAATTCCCCGTTGAATGTATTTAGGCCTCAGGCTTTAGGGTTTTTCGGTAAAGATAGAGAAGGAAAGCTTCAGACCTTAAGGCGACAAGGGAGCATGTATTCTCGAACCAGCAATGACATCCATGTTCGCAGGGGGTTGATGGGACGTGCACACATGTTTGACTCGTAGCAACTGCTCGCAGTGACAGAAAGCGGCGAATCAGAAACACTCGGATTTGAAGCAGGCTGTAGGCCCTCTTCTCTGCATTGCTCTGAGCGAGCCTTCGCTTTCGAAAGCCAACCGAAACGTAATTCTTCGCGGTTGTGCTGATCCTGTCCAGGCCATCTTCGAAAGGGACGAGGACCGTCTTGTGAGCAAGTGAATGGGTTGAGCCACGTCGTTTCTGCTAAGCGCGGGAACCCCCTAAACCGAGGACGTTCGACCCTACATGACCTCACGGTCTTCAACCGGCAAAAGCACGAAAACCTGAAGCTTCAAAGCCCTAAGCCCTAAACCCTAAACCCTAGCAGAATGCGGGGACGCCTCTCTTTGAGAGGACCTGCAGCGCATCTTCGCCAGTCCCGATGGGCTCTCCACGGAGGCGGTTTTGGGGTTTTAGGCTTTTGGGGTGTAGGCTTTATGGTGTCGGCTTTAGCGATTAGAAGGTTTCGGAGTGCATTGGAGTCTTAAGCTTTTGGGGTGAAAGAGGTGGCACTCCAGCCTAGACTAGTGCCCTGCTGACGCCAGGCGCTGACAATGGAGCGCTACGCGGCTCCTCGGCCTGCGCGCGGGAGTGTTGTCTTTTGGAACTTTTCGGATACAGGTTTGGCATCCAGGGTTTAACTAAAGCTTAGGGCTAAGTCTCGGATGTCAAGATGCGGGTGTTTGGAAGAAGGAGGCCGCCACGATTTCGGAGCTTCTGAAAGGACCTGAGGCTGCTCGCAAGGACTTGTGCACATCCTAGAGTCCTGTTCCGAATTCAGAATTCAGTTGGGCCGCAGGGTGTAGGATGTCGGTCGTTTTGGACCACAAGGATCTTGCTCCTGTAGCCTTGAAAGCTCTTGCTACACGCCAACCCAGGAGTGGTGGCTAAGCCGCGGCAAGGCGCTTCACGGCTCGTCGGGTTGTGTTGGATCTTTCCCCCCGTGCTTCCCAAGCCTTGTTTGTTTTACACAGCTTCCACCCATCCCATTGACCTTCAGCCCGGCCCTCAACCCGAAACCCTAACCTCCAAATTAGACCCGGCCACAAGTTCTGACTCTTCAAGCCGAAGCCCCTGCCAGTTACCCGTGATGCTAAACCCTAAGACCCTAAGGCCCAAACAAACACCCGAAGCCACAGCCTCTACAAACAGAGTTGTATCCGCTTCGAATCCTGCAAAGCCGCCCTTACACTATGTCTCAACCGTTTGTTATGTGCGTAGACTTGGACGTCCCGAAATTGGTTTCCTCAAGTGGGGGCAGCTGTTAGCCTGCTGCGCCCCAAAGCCTGCAAGCGCTGCAAGCGCCCCTAACTCTCAAACCTTAAACCCGATGAGCCCTATCAGCCCTACGAGCTCCATGAACCTTTTAAAACCCTAGACTCCATAGCAACTATACTCAGAATTACCTATAACCGCCGTTAGGGTATATATAACCTTACTTACAAAGTCCCATGATCCTCCAAGTATCGGAAGCTCCTTATAAGCCCCCAACAAAGCCCCCACTAAGCGCAGGTCTGGTGATCGAGGCTCTTGTTGTCTGACGGGCCGGCCCAGCCGTCTTCGACCCAAAGATTTCCTCGTCTGCAACGCTGCACACGGAGTTGCCAAGCAACGCACAAGGCTTCTTGTTGGGGGAAGCCCTAAGTAGACCCTAAACCTCCAAAGCCCAGAGGGTTTCTGGTGCTTTCATAGCCGTCGAAGGCGCTGGGAGGCGAGAGAGACGGCTCTTTTGTAGAGATTCTCTGAAGCTCCGAAGCTGCGGCTGCTCTGGAGCTGAGGTAGGGAGGTTCCTGCTTTGGGTTTGTAGGGCTTTCAGACTTGAGGGTTTGGGGGGTTTGGGCTTTCTGTAGTTGCGGTTCAAGGCTTGGGGTGTTGAGGTCAAAATGTCCTAGGAACAATTTTTTATATTCGACAAGCAGGACTCGGAGTCTCTATGCTGATCGCGCAGAGTCTCCAAAAAGAGACTCAGCCCCGAAACCTACAGCCCTCAACGAAAAGCGGCGGAAGCCTCGTTCCTAGTTTGTGGGTCAGCCCTAAACCCTAAGGCCTAAGCTTAAACCATCTAAAAACCTCTTAAGCCGTACACCATCTAAAGCCCTAAGCCCTAAACCATCTTAAACCCTCAGCCCTAAACCATCTCAAACCCAAAAATGGCAAGCTGCCGAAATCCTGCCTGCCTGCTTCCGGGCAGCCCTGGAGCGAATATCCCCTGCAACTACAAATTTTGTCGTCTCCTTGGGAGGTGCAGGCGCGAAAAAGCTCATATCGGAGATACCAGAGGGGGTTAGTTCCGTGGCGCTTCTCTTTCCTTGAAGTTCTGATGAGTATGATCTAAGGTATGTTCCAGAATTAACGATTATTCGGCTTTTTGGGTGTCTCTCTTTCTCTCGGTCCTGGGAAGTGCTGGGAAGTGGAATCCCACAGGGCTTGAAAAGCTTGGGGCCAACGCTCTTAAGGCAAAACCCTACACGGCTTAAACCCCTGAGCCCTAAGCCCGAAATCCTAACCCCTAAACCCCAGAAGCCACCCCAAATGGCCGGATCAATAACAGCCGAAGACCTTGTAACTGACACGGAAACTCCCGAAATTATCAGGTCGGTCCGGTTCTGCATGAAGCAACGACCTACATTTGTCTGGACGTGGTGCTTGGAATCCTGGCGCCATCGCGCAGTTTAGGAGAGAATCTGCTGCTATCGCTGTTGCACGCAGAGAAGCGCTTCATTTGATCCGGGAGATCCGACTGCATTGCGACCCTCACGTGAGCTTGAGAGGGTTGGGGACAACACCCTCAATGTAGGAACCTGATCAAGAAACCTAGGCTCTTTATCAATTAAGGGTAATCACCTTATATGAGTCCTGAGATGGGTTTTCCTCATCAGGTTCCTACATCAGTCATCAGCCTATCGAACCGTGAGAAGACTCGAAAGCTGAAAGCCGCCGGACAGCCCTTTAAAACATCACATCACCCCAAAAGCCCCCGAAGCCCAAATCCTAGGCCCTTTACACACGGTTTAGGGTTTAAAATCGATATCAGAATAGACCCCCTTGCAGAGAGTGGGACTAGGATCCTAAAGCCTTCAGAGCCATGGATAGCGCCGCCCAGTCGTGGGCTTGGGGAAGTTACTGGGGCGCTCCCGAGGGATTTTGGTGGGCATCCCAGGCCTTAGGGTTTGGGGTTTAGAAAGAGTTCAGGGTTTACGGTTTAGGGTTCAGGGTTTAGGATGTTTTGATGTTGTTGTTTCAGGCAGTCTTTCGGCAGTTTGTGGAAGGCTTTGGCTTTTGGGGCGAACCGAGACCCACGGCTGCAGAGCCTCGGCCCACACGCGGAACTTTGTATCGTAAAATGTATAGTATATATGTAACACATACAATATATGGTTCGATGTCACTGCTCATAGCAACATTCGTCATGGTCGCTCAACATTCCTTCTCGCACCACACATACTCATGATGCCGAAATTCGTGTGAAGTAGAGCCCTGATCCTTTACAGTAGCCCCAAGAAGCCCCTCAACCTGAAGCCCTCAACCCTAATCCCCCCCCCCATTGCCTTGAAGCTGAGCTCCACACTCCTTTTGAGCGCTTCCAGCCGACAGGCCGCACCAGCCGCGAGCTGGAATTTCAGCCGCTTGCAGGAGGTGGGCCTTCGGGCTGTCTGGTTTCAGGAAGTCACCTTCTGGGGGTATTGTCCTAGATCCTAGGCTCATACCTCGAGTCCCGAACGGGAGCTTGAACAGCGTACAAGCTCCGAAACACAAATTGCAAAGTTTCGGGCTTGAAGATGAGACTTGCAGCTAGAATCCGAGCAACTCGTAATACTAATCTCAAACAGCATTGGGAACTGCATCCGAGACTCGCCGTAGCTTGCCTGCACTTTTGAAGCATACTCTCCTATGTTTTGCGGGCGTTAAGTCCACCCTATGGGCTTATAAGCTCGAGACAACCCAGAGTTTTGTACCCCTATGGCCCTATCAAACCCCTAAACCCTAAACCCTTACAATCTACCAGCCCCGAATCTTGGATTCCGAATCCTCATAGTCTAGCAAGCTTATGCCCGAAGCCGTGGCAAGTTAAAGCAAAACCGAGACCCTGAACGCTCGGCCCTCAACCCTGAACCCTACATCCACGGCACCACCATTGTCGACACAACTCCCAAACCCCTAAGCCCTAAACCCTGAAGAAAATCCGTATAAACCCTAAACTCTAAACTTCAAAAAAACACTATAAACCCTAAACTCTAAACTTCAAAAATAAACCTATAAACCCTAAACTTCAAAAACAATCCTATACACCCTAAACCCTAACCTCTTCAGGCCTTCCCGGATCTGAACTGTGCGCGCCACGCGAGCTGGACGGCCTTGCAGCGGGAGCTGGTTGATTTGACGAACAAGGAGGCCTCTTCATGCTGGCATTACTAGCTTAATGGTTTAGGGTTTAGGGTATACAGTATGAACTGTGCCCGTATGCTGGCGGGAATTGCAAGCTAGTGTACTTGGTCTTTCACTGCAGTCGTAGAAGCTCGGGTTTCTGTTGTTTTGAGTGCTTCGATAAGACCCTGGCAGAGGAGTCGAGCAGACTGTGTCTCTGAAAGGCTTTACGAGGCCGAAAACCTTCAAGACATAGTCAGAAATTCGTCCAAATTATTGTAAACACCCACAGGACCTTGGAACCAGAAGCCCACGCTCGGAGTTCCTACTCCATTTTTTGTGGGGCTCCCTGTATTGAGGATCCTACAATGATTTGGTATTATAAGGGTTATTAGACGGTTCACTAAACGGGTTGCTGTAGGGTCTGTGTCCACAGCTCGGGTCCGTAGCTTCCTTCCCATCAGGCCATGGCTTTCCCGACGCACTGGCAGACGTGGCAGGCGTCGCGTCTGGATTCATTTTGTTTTTTGTTCGTCGGCTACTTTCATGCAATCCAAGCCTATGGACCTTTACGTATAGAATTCGACAAAGGCCTTGACGGCTCAAGCACCCAGAAATTTGCTTTTCGAGGAGTTTCGGGCTTGAGTTTAGAGATTTGGGCCTGTAGGTTTCAGGGGCACCGAAGGTCAGGGTTTAGGTTTTGTTTTTGTCTCTGATTCTAGTATACTGCAGTAGATTATTGTAGTATATTATTGTAGTATCTTGTCGTATATTCTTGTCTATTGTAGTCTACTGTCTGTTATAGTCGATTATGGGCCCTAAAAAAGTGCGTGCTAGAGCCCACCTGCAGCCGGAGCCCTGGATCCTCCCTGGCTGCTAAGACGTCCATCACCACGCTGGTGCAGAAGCACACGAAGGGGTAGCTTGGCGTTGGGCGAAGGGAAGATGTCTTGAGCCGGGTTGAGGTTTCAGGATTCGTTTGATCCTAGGGCCTTTAGTCAGCCTTGAGTTTAAGACCCTGCTTCGTGGCGTCAAGGTCCCCCATGCCTCAAACGGAAGCACACTGACGTCATTTGCTTCATATGGAGCCCTTGAAGATGGATCGGAAAAAGCTGCTCGTGCCAACGTCCCCGCCCTCAGCAAGGCACTGCGAGTCATGAAGAAGCAACGCAAACGTTCGTGAAAAATGAAGCCGCAGAACGAACCTGAAGCAGGCCTGGGGCTCTGCCCTTGATCCTCAAGCCCGAAGCCCTAAACGTTACAAGCATCGAAAGTTTGAAAGCCAAGGAGGTATGCCACCTCGACGTCCATGGAGTTTCTCCACTCCCATGGCTTCAAGGCACTATGGTTTGGGGTATAGGTGTTTGGTTCTCGGGCTCCTGGTTCCACAAATGTTGAGTGCAGGGCTTGGGGATTAGGGCAGGTTTGCAAGCTTGGACAGATCTGGAGAGAGTTGGTCGTAGGTTTCGAAGGGATGATTTCAGGTATTGCAAGCGTTCCTCGAAAGTTTACAGCTAGTAGGCCCCAACACGGGAACGTTCTCAACCCAGGTCCTGAGTTGAGCCTCAGATCCCAAGGGACCCGTAACGTCCGAAGCCCCTTAACTTCAAAGCCCCAGTTCCCGAAACCCTAAGGCCTCAACTCTCAACCCTAACCATCCTTAACTCATGGAGCCATCATGGTTCACAGTCCTAGCACCCCAAGCCCGTCGCCTCCAACAGCCCCAACCCGAAAGCCATTCCGCTTTGTGCATTTCTTCAGACCAAAAGAGCCCTTTCCTAAAACACCCTTGAAAGCCCTACCCCTGTTTTGCAACGCCGATGACTCGTATCCTTAAAACCCCTTGTAGGTTAGTTATATAGCTTTAGTCATGACCTACACTATTTTGGGGGTTTCCTTACCATAGCTATAGTATAAGGTACCCCCAAACCCTATTGAAATTAGTAAAGCCCCTGCAGTAGCAGCTTCTCTTAACGATGGCAGGTCTGCCCTTTGGGTGTCGCTGCGCTCGCCGCGGCCACCTGGCTGGGTTGCCTCGGTGAGGTCGCCAACTTCGCGCGGGAGACCAAGGAGTAGCCGGAAGGTTTGTTGTTTTTGTGGGGGGCCGTCATGAGGGTTCCGCATGAGTTTTGGCAACGGTTTTTCCAGAAGGAGAG